AACAATTGGTTATAGTGCTATAAAAAATGTTAAAAGTCGCTACGACACTGGTAAAGTTCTTCGCACTATGATGTCGTGGCGGAATTTCGGTAATTTTGCTGTAAATATACAGAGCGACTAGAGCGAGCAAAGACGGTCCAGTTTTTGCTACATCGTACGCGTTTTTGTGGTGTCCTCTTGTGATGAATTCCGGTCGTTATTATTATTTAATATATTATTATTATTGTGACCAACGTGGCGTGAAAATCTTCTATGCACTCTTTACAGATATTATAATAAATTGTATGCATATCGAACGAAGCAGTCCGAACGATAAAAAAAATATAGTATGGAAAACGATATTTTTTTTCCTAGAAAATAATTTATCGCACCCCGGCGGAATTCGTGTGCACGAAATTGCCACGAATTATGTACTCGTGCGATTACACATTAATATCATAATGATATTCTTTAACAAAAAATTTCTTAACTAGATACCTTACCTATTTATATACATATGAATATATATGTATATGTAAAGTGCCGTATGAAAGTTGATACGATAAAAATTGAATGCAACGTCGTTGCTCGTGCAGATATTGTCCGGATTGAATATATGACGTTATCTCGGCGAGGAAAATGATGATTGCCTGCTGTATAATGTTCGAAATTTAGGCTCGAAAATAGCGTAGGTACGTGTGTTGATGTATCGCGCGCGTGTGGTTTATCGCGTAGAATTCGCCAACATAATTATTATAATATTATTTTATCTTACTGCGTTGTTAAAAAAAAAAGAAAAAAGAACTTTAAATATAACCATTATATCACCACACACACACACACACACAAGAGACTCGCTTTGGGATCAGCGCAAAAAGTGTCGATTTGTGTAACGTAATATGAATCTTATATAATATGGGCTAAGTGGAACATAACAAAGCATGAAACCTGCAATACCTAAGAGTCAATGAAAAATGTTTGTTTTCTACCATCTTTAAAAAAAAWTTTTTTACGAAATTTGTGTATTAATTGTATTATAACCGAAGTGGTCAGTCTTATAACCGAACTATTTGGAATTTGGATTCGCCCTGAGACCATTCCCTACGATTTTGAGTCATTTGAACGGCGTTCACTGTACATAATATATCAATGTGCGTAATAAATACACGAGACCACAACGACGTTCGTCAACATAAACCATGCGAGTGCGGTATACCACCATATAATATATATATATATATATAATATATACCGCTGCATACCATAGTACATGGTGGTTTAGCTCTATACATACACCGTGGTTGTGATTATTATTATAATTATCACATTATATTTTTGTCTGATACACACGATGATATTGCTCGTGAAAACGTCCTTGGCGACGACCCACAATAATAAAACCGCGTACTCCGCGTGTCCTTCAACTTGTGTCCGGACCATCCGAAATAATAATAATAATATATTATGCCGCCTACGCCAGAGGAGGTATCTTCAGCTAAGCAGAATAATACGCATTGAAATATATTATACATAATAGCGGTCTTTGTACAGCGTGCGGCTCATTATAATATTATACAGGACGATTCTTTCAACACCGCGCCAACCATAGGTTATTACGCACCAAAGCATAATAATACTATGTATTATTATAATCTATACGGCTGATATTTATTTTTTTAACGCTATACACTGTGATTTTCACAGGACGATTCTTTCGACACCTGTAGCGGCCCATCGTGTTTCGATGTCTAATTTAACGAATTATTCGAATAGAGATAGATTTTTCTATATCGCTTCACAGTGATTTTTATTTTTTTAACACAGCTGCAGTCGTTGGCTGTCAAACATTAGGTAGGTATCACAATATTTTAGCAGCATTTGGTTTCTGTTTTTTAATATCGTGATTTTTCAAGCATATTCATTTCGATGTATCCATCGTGGTTGCACCGCGCTGCACCGCGACGGACGCGAAAATAGCAATAAAATATTTTAAAAATAAATTTAAAAAATTTACAAACTGTGTTCGGTGCACGAAACAACGAAATTTCTGGTCTTTTCTCTTGAACCCAAAACAAATACGATTCGTTGTCCGAATTATGGGCGGCGCCGTTTAACTGTTTATTTTATCGATTAAATTATATTGTAAATGCACAAACGTGGGCATTAACTAGTTAAAAAGTTTAAGTTAAATTAAAAAGTWATTTTTTTTTTTACTTTTTGACTTAATCAGTTAGTTTATTTTCTAATCAACTTATGAACTTGAATGGCTTAATCGACTTTTCTTTTTCTCATTCGGTTTAAAAATAATCCATCTCACATTTTAAACATTTTTCGTCTATACGTAAATATTAATATAAAATTAAAATAATCCAATACTATAATATAATAACCCAAACATGTGCAGTCTTTGTGTGATTTACATACTATATAATTGAAAGAAAATAGATTAAATTTGAATTAAATCAATATTTTTTTCCACATTAAATTTTCACTTGTCGAGTTGACTTTGTAATTTGTTAACTTTTAACTTAACGATCATGTGCGTCCTCATAACTTCACTTGACTRGAGTTAATATTATTTTCATTGACTTGGTGTCCATACCTTTGCAAATACGTAACATAAATAGGTAACACGTATACGCACAACACTGCAGCAGCTGCAGTAGATTTTATATAGCTAAAAGCGTGTAGTGTTTTTCAAGAATAGCGACGATAGGAATTTATTTTTTTCAATCGAAAACAAGATTGTGCGCATTAAATAATTAATTTAAAATGTCGTCGGGCGAGAGTCCCACGTATATATCATATCATCGTATATTATACCTACGTGATGTGTACCAGTGTCGCGTGCGTATTAAAATGTCTTCGCGGATAGCAATAATTGCATTACAGTTATTTTAATAGTAATATCATAACCGTCGTCGTCGTCGTCGTCGTCGTATACACACACATATTATATTGTTATCACGCGTACGACTCGTGTCAAAGGCCGTTTCATAATGCATTCGTAATCGGTGCGACAGCGACGACGGTCATGGGGTGATGTGTGCTCAGTCTCACGCGATTTGCCGATTTGTCGAGTCCGTTTAGATATTTACCGTATGCGTTTTTTTTTTCACAGGTCGTGTCTTGAATATCGCCGCAGATACGCTGCACGGCTCCTCCAGATAAGTCGTGGTCGCGTCGTATTATTTGGTCGCACCGCGCAACAATAATATAATAATATTATATAACCACACTGAGTCGGATCGACACGTGAAAAGAAGCAGCAAACCGTCCGAACCGCAATCATGATGGTGAGTTATTTTATATTATGTTTATTATAATTTTTTATTAATTATTAATGTTGTCGTGGTCGTCGTCGTCGTAATATTGTACGAGCCGAGTTCTCTATATACATTTAATAATGTAATAATAACACGTTAATAGGTGCACCGTAGACGACATGATAAAATGTATTTGTAACTTCTATATATTATATATATGTATATATTATATATATGTATATATTATATATTGTTTATAAAATTCTTTCAAAGTGAACAAAAATTTAAAAATAAGATAACCCATCAAAGCAAGCTATTTTTCGAAATCCTTATTTTCGTAAAATATCCAACGTATTATTACTTTTTTTCGAAGCACTGCAATCAACTCATTTTTATTCGATGTTCTTGCGATGTGGATCTTTTTCRCGGGCTCTTAGACGTAACCATATCWACAGGTATTGAATATTGGACCAAAAGTGTTTTTAAATCTGTTAGATTATGTAAAACGTAAAAAGAAAATGCGTAAATAGACGGACGGCCCTACACAAATATGATGCATTATATACTCAAATCATATATACAAGGTTGGCAAACTTATCAAATTTTTAATCGGGCAATTGTTTGGATTCTATAGTCGATTGAGTACAATCAGATTATAGATGTATTTATCACTTTTCGAAATCCTAATTTTTGCAAAACGTCCAACGTGTTATTTTATTTTATCGACAACAGACTATCGAATTTACTCGATATTCTTTTGAAGTGACACTTTTTACCGGCCCTTAGACGTACCTGTATAAATAGATATTGAATATTGGACTGATTTTTTTTTTTTCAATTCGGTGGATGAATAATTTTTTTAATTAAAATTTATTAGATAATATACAATCTGTAACAACAATATTAAGCATAATACGAGCGTAGAATAAATAAAATAAAATAACCTATGGCATGAGAGCTTGAGGAGCGATGAGTAGCTACCTATTAGTATAGGTATAGCACTCAGACACAATAGAAATAAGATTATTTCATAAAATRTAAATAAAAAGTGTGTGAATATAGCTGCGTGTAGGCAATCCTACGCAATTTAGGCGCACTTTATACTCAACTCATCGACAATAAGTGAGGTTGGCACTTTTTAATCGGACAATAAAAATGTTTTTTTTTTATAATTGTACCTCTGTAAGCAACTATATACATAATTTTACGCTCACTACACTTTCGCAGGATATCCAAAACCAATGAACATCACTTCAAATCTCTTTTAATGATTAACTTCAATTACTGCAGATCGATTAAGTAAATGTTGTTCGGTTAGTTTTTGTTGACAAAAAATAAAAACATATTTATATTCAAATATAAAAAAACAGTTCAACAATAGGTATACCTCCGTCACTAATAAACATGCACGTATGTTTAATTAGTGGCCTAACCAAACTACAAACCGTACAGTACACCTGTATATATCAGGTATAATCAGCCTCAGGGATTTTTTTTATTGAATAATATAGTTTTCTAATTTGGACAGATTTTTTTTTTTGTGTGAAGGATTAGGACTTCTTGATTAGGTACATCGTAATTATTATTATGAAATCAATTATTTTTTACACATCCTTTCTGAATAGGTTATCGCAAACGTTTTTTTTTTTATTATTATTTATTCTTTAAACGATTAATTTTACTTTATAGATAATCAGTTTAATTTAATATAAATAGATTGTTTGTAATTATGTTGCAATTACTTATTTTTTTTTTTTT